TTTTTTTATCAAAGTACAAACAATACGCCCCCTACAGTCTCACACTTGGCAGACAAACTTTCTAACAATAATCTAAACAACAGAATTCTTTCATTGTCAGGTATTGCAGTATTTTTTTTTTTATAATCAAACCCAGCATGTGCTAAGCAGGGCCCTGAATGAATTACACCTTCAGCCAAGACAACACACACCTTCACTATATTTTTGTGTTTGTTTAGCTTTATTGTGGCACCAGTGATAGAAACAAGGTGGGCCTCCACGCATTTATGGGGCAAATGCCTACCACATAGAAATATTCTGGGCATTTTTTGGTTGGAGGAGACAGGGTCTAAGTAAATTACACACTCTGGTCTTGAACTCATTCTGTAATCCAGGCAGGCTTTGAATTTGGGGGATCTTCGTAGCTCAAACTCCCTGAAGCTAAAACTTCAGGTCCAGGTAGAGCAGTAAGGTATTAAAGAGTAACACTGCTTGGTAGCTAAGCTCTTAACAGAGTTCTCATTGTTTGGTTTTAGCTTGTGTGACTCCCCTGAAGCCTTCCAAAGCCCCGGGGACACATGCCAGTGAATACTAAAGTCTACATTCTCTGTTTGTTACACACGAGATGCCTGTGAAAAAGTTAATTTGTAGATTAGGCACAATAAGAAATTACCAGTAACTAATAAGAAACAACTATAGTAACAAACTACAATGGCTAGCTAAGTGTGCACTGAGCATCTTTAATCCAAGTATTTGGGAGGCAGAGGCAGACCGATTCCAGGCCAGCTAGGGCTATGTAGTGAGTTCTTATCTCAAATAAGCAATATATACCGTAATGAATGTGTTGTGAATGTGGTGTTCCACTGTAGTCTTTTCACTGCTATTATTTTGTTGTCTTCTTTTCTTTCTTTTCTCTTTCTTTTTTTTTTTTTTTTTTGAGACAGGATCTCCTTTGTAGTTTAGGCTAACCTTCATTTGCAGGGATTCTCCTGCCTCTGCCTCTTCAGCGTTGGAATTATGGGCTGGTACCACCTCTTTCTGGCAATATTGAGGCTTACTTGTGGAAGTGAGAGAAAAAAATTGAGAAAGCAAGGACTAACTGGCCACCATGAAGGACATGGCTGTGAGGGTGGTGGTTTTGGGGAGTGCAGGTTTAAGGAGTGTACGGTGCATGCTTGAAGGTCCTTAGAGGATGGGAAAGTGCAGAGACAGGAAGGGTCTGACTTTCACCGGATCCTATAGACCACTGTAGGATCACTGACTTTTGCCCTGAAAGCAGAGCTGTTGAGAAGTCAGGCAGAATTACAGACTTAGAAAATAAACTGACAAAGGAAAGAAGCTGGAAGAGTAAACGTGGCTCTTTACAACAGTGGCATTGTTCTTTGTTTGCTCCATCCACCTCAGCAGGCTGGCAACTCAGGCCTGAAGCTGGCACAGAGGCGACTCCTCCAAATACACCAGCAGGCTTGATCTGGGACCATGAGCTGAGCAGGCTAAGCAGGCGTTTTCTCTAATGTGTTCTCTCTGTGTTTCTACTATTAAATAAACACTCAGATGTTTATAAGAAATGTTGGTAAGCCGCCCACTCCATCTTCCCAAACCACAGGCTCTGAAACACTCAACCAACAAAATTCTGGACAGAAACATAGAATCCTGAGTGTAGTATCTTCTAAGCAGCTTGTACCATGTGGTGCGGCATCTAAGCATTTTTCCCTTACAGCAGAAAGTGCAAATCAAATCCCCTAGGAAATTAGAGATTGAAAGGGAAGTGATTTTTGGTTTAGTTTGGAGTGATATTAGTCAATTAGTTAATTTTTATGATGCTGAGGATTGATCATAGAGCCTTGTGCCTGAGATCAAAGGACTCCAGCCCTTAGGTAAAGATCTATATAGTACTGGCTGGTAATTTTAGCAAACAAAATAACAGCAGCCTACTCAAGAGACTGGACTTCTGATTCTTTACATTCTGTGTGTGCATGTGTGTGTGTGTGTGTGTGTGAGAGAGAGAGAGAGAGAGAGAGAGAGAGAGAGAGAGAGAGAGAGAGAGAGAGAGCACGTGTATGGGAGCCAGAGGACAACCAACAACAAGCTGGTTCTCTCCTTCCACCATGTACTACAAACTGACTAAACCAAAGTTTTTAGTCTTGGCCATGGCTATCTTTCCCTCTGACCAAAGTTTACTCTCCCACTAAACAATATGTATTTGGTTGTCCTATAGTTGGGAGGGTGACAAGTCAAACTAATGTATTCTGCATGGAAAAAGGCAAGAAACAAGAGAAAATGGAAGAGTAAGATTGGTGAGTGTAGCTGGCTACTGTGATGCAGTGTGAAGTCCAAGGGCAAGGGATGTGGAGGAAGGAGGATCAGAAGCTCAAGGTTATTCTTGGGTATGTATCAAATCAGTCTTGGAAAATATAGAACTCAAATAGATAAACAGTAAAAAATAATGTTTTAAGATTGGTGAATGTGGCTGGGCATGGTGGTGCACACCATTAATCCTGGAAGTTGGAGGTAGAAGTAGGAAGACCAGAAGTCTACAAACAGTCTTTATCACATACTAAATATGAGGCATTCTTGGTTATGTGAGACCCCATCTCAAAACACACACAGACACAGAGAGAGGGGGGTGGACTGGTAAACATTTTTGAAGTTCATATATTTAAAAGCACATGAAACCTACTGTTTTTAATGATTTTAATTGAGCTCTACATTTTTCTCTGCTCCCCTTCCTGACTCTCCCCTCCCCTTCAACCCTCTCCCAAGGTCCCTAAGCTCCCAATTTACTCAGGAGATCTTGTCTTTTTCTACTTCCCATGAAGATTAGATCTGTGTATGTTCTCATTGTTCTCTAGATTCTCTGGGATTGTGATTTGTAGGCTGGTTTTCCTTGCTTTATGTTTAAAAACCACCTATGAGTGAGTAAATGTGATAATTGTTTTTCTGGGTATGGGTTACCTCACTCAAAATGATGTTTTCTAGCTCCATCCATTTTCCTACAAAATTTAATGATGTGGGAGTGATTTCTTATTAATAAAGAAACTGCCTAGGCTCCTTGATAGGCCAACCCTTAGGTGGGTGGAGTAAACAGAACAGAATGCTGGGAGAAAGAAGCTTAGTCGAGGAGTTACCATGGTTCTCCCACTCCAGACTGACGCAGGTTAAGATCTTTCCTGGTAAGCGCACCTCGTGGTGCTACATAGATTATTAGAAATGGGTTAAGAGGCTGAAACTAATGGGCCAGGCAATGTTTAAAAGAATACAGTTTCCGTGTAATTATTTTGGGGCATAAGCTAGCCATGCGGGCAGCCGGGTGCTGGGGACGCAGCCTCGCCGCTCCTATCACTACAATTTAAGATTTTTTTCTCCATTGTGTAAATGTACCACATCTTCCTTATCCATTCTTTGTGTCTCATTGTCATGAAAACCCTAAGTTATTAAAACAGTTTAAATGCCATATTCTGTAGTCTTTGAAAGATATGAAGTATGCCTACTACCTGAAATATATCTTTATATATCTTGAAAATCTAACTAACATGAATACAAACTTGACTATTATCGATGATTATCCATTAACAACCTATATTTCCTGATTATACATTACATTTTTAAATGAACTACACATTCACAATACCTTAATCAATATCAGAAATATACATATAACAAGATTGAATTTAAATTTATATCAATAAAGCAAAATTTATACCAATGTAAATTATTCATATCTATATATATCCCCCTTGAAATGTAAAAGAACATTTATAAACAATATCTGGGAATATGAACATAGTTATTTCTCTCCAAACTTCTTCCTGCTGTATGGGGGCACTGTTAATCAGGTCTTTCATGGTGTATCTGTGTGCCAGGTTCATCTTAGTCGGCAGTTGAATGAAGTAATTTTTTGAGGGTGTTTACAGCAACCTTTCAGGAGGGTGTGGTCTATCATACCATATTGGGATAGAAGCAATCCACAGGTTCTCATTTTCTGTGAAAACAAGAAGAACCTCTTATCCAAAGCATCACTTCCTTAGATCCAAATTCTGAAGTCAAGATAGCTTTATGATACCCATGTTGGATTATCTTAGCAGACCACACAATGAAATGTCTCTCTGTATTTAGCTCCTTCACAGTCAAAAAAATGGAAAGAAAATACAATAATATACAGAATCCAAACTCTCTGTGAATTTTCCATTTTTACGGGTTTTTATTTCTTTTAATCTATAACTATCTGTACTCTGTCTCTTTAAAGACTTTGCCCATTTTTTATTATATTTTATTTATTTATTTATTTGTTTTTTTTTTTTCGAGACAGGGTTTCTCTATAGCTTTTTGGTGTGCCTTTTTTTTTTTTTTAAAAAAAAGCATTAACTTTATTCTCTATATTCTTTTTCTTCTCTCTCCCAAGCCTACATATGTCTATCTAACACTATGACCCATTTAGAGATCTTTTATCTCTGAATCTGTTCTATTGCATTGCTTGTAACTCTTTGTTGTCCAGGAACATTTTTGCTTTGTGCTTTTAAATTACTAAACATTTAAGAATCTAAGCTGTGACATTCCTAGGTCAAGAACAGGTACTGCTGGCTTGCCCTGCTCAGTCCAACATGGCAGAGCCCCTTGTGCCTCTTAAGTTGTGCCCCTGAGCCGCAGAGTGGCGGGCTGTTCTGAATGTTGGCTCCACCTCTCTCTAATTTCAAAATGATGAACGTACCATTTCTGCTAGCTCTGGGGCCACCAGGTAGGAGCTGCACTCAGCACTTTAACTCTGAGACTGAGCGTGCAGCACATAAACTCTTATTATCTGAGTTACATCAAATCTGCCACGCAGAGCACTGTGCAGCCTGGAAACATCTCTGTGTATGGTGGCAGAAATCTGCCATGCTCTCCTGCTTGTGCATGCTTAATAGACCTGATCCCACCACCTGCCCAGGTACAGGTAGGGAGACTGAGCCATTGGCATGGTCTCAGAGTACTTTCTTCCTGATCCCAAGTGGGCATACCAACATCCGGGTGTTATTCTTAAAATGCTCAAGGAGCAGCAGCGAGCTCCGGTGGATCCCCAGCGGGGCGGGCGGGCGGTAGCAGGGCGGGTGGATGCCAGGCCCTGGCTCCAGAGTCTGGCACCAGAGCGGCGTCAGAGTTCCCAATGGTGAGAGGGTGCGTGGGTAGGGACATGTGACAGACACATAGTTTAAAATCATAACTGAGCCTTTATTACTTAGAGGAGAGAGAGAGAGAGAGAGAGAGAGAGAGAGAGAGAGAGAGAGAGAAATCAGGAAAATTTCTCTTAAATGAGCTGGATACTCCACCAGCAAACAGCAAAAAGCTGTGTTAAACTCTCTCTCTCTCCTTTTTAAGCCCTCTCAGATTTTTCATGGAGTTTGTTACCATGTTGGAGATCCACTCTGTTGTAAAAGGAGTAGTGGGCTACGTCCTGCCCAGCTCCTGGCTAGCTTATCCCCCGAAATTGTATTAATTAAATTGCTGCTGGCCCATTAGCTCTAGCCTCTTCTTGGCTAATTCTTACATCTTGATTCAACCCATTTCTAATAATCTGTATGTCACCATGAGATTGTGGCTTACCGGGAAAGATTCAGCATGTCTGACCTGGCAGCTTCATGGCAGCGGCTCTCTGCCTCTGCCTCCTTTCTCCCATTCTGTTCTGTCTACTTCGCCTATCTAAGCTGCTGTCCTATCAAAAGGCCAAGGCAGTCTCTTTATTCAACCAATAAAAGCAACACATAGGAAGAAGGCTCCTACACCAAAGAACTATGTTTAATAGGTATGGAGAGAGTGGACAACCTTGTCTTGTTCCTGATTTCAGTGGACTTGCTGGGAGTTTCTCTCCATTTAGTTTGATGTTGGCTGTTGGCTTGCTGTATATTGCCTTAATAATGTTTAGATATGTTCCTAGTATCCCTGCTCTCTCCAAGACCTTTATCATAAAGGGATGTTGTATTTTGCCAAATGCTTTTTCAGTATCTGATGAGATGATCATGTGGTTTTTATTTTTCAGTTTGTTTATATGGTGGATTACATTGACAGATTTTCGTGTATTGAACCATCCCTGCATCTCTGGGATGAAGCCGACTTGATCATGGCAGATGATGGTTCTGATGTATTCTTGGATTCGATTTGCTAGTTTTTATTTAGTAATTTTGCATTAATGTTCATGAGTAATATTGGTCTATAATTCTCTTTCTTAGTAATGTCTTTCTGTTGTTTGGGTATCAGGGTAATTGTAGCCTCATATAAATAATCTGGCAATGTTCCTTCTGATGAAACCTACTTTTTTTTTGTTTGTTTTTTTTGTTATAAATTTTTTTACTGCAATACAACAATGAAGTAAACAGTAATTAGACTCCTACCAATTTCCCCCAAACAAATAAAGAATGCAAAGAGGAAAATAACTCTGTCTATATGTGTACAGCTTCTCAAATCACGTTAGAGGGTCTCACATTCAACAATCAGGAAATTTTAAAATAGCAGTAATTATTTTCATTTTAAGAAAAAGTCCCCCTCTATCCTCCCTACCCCAAGCACTGAACATGAAGAATGGGCTTCCTTTTGCATCAATTTCATAGTCATGTGAAGCAGCAACAATGACCATCAAAAATTTGGCATTTCTGTTTACATATGCTCCAATTTTTCCCCTAATTTCAAAAAGCCATTTTCCAGTCTTGCCATAAAACAGACTATAGATTCTAGATAGCAAAGATTCAGAAACCAATGTTAAGTCAAAGAAAAGGGAAAGTAGGGCATCACACTAAATTTCTGGATCTAATACACTAGAATGAAACCCAGAAAACATTACCTACTGTTTAGAAGAATAAAGACCTGCAAAGGTGGATGTTTGGTTGTCTAGTATTTTACACTGTGGCTCTGCAGCATCTGCTAACTGAAGCAGACATGCATGGTGTGTATCCCTGCCCTGTGTCCTAGCTCCCTCCCTCCCACCCCCACCATCCTACTACCGTATACCAAATATTGTGGCTATGAGCCCAAGTCACCCCAGACAATCCAGTGAACAAAATTAGTGTAATGCACTGGCGTGAGTGGGATACAAGAGTCCCTTCAATCTTCGTCAAAGTTCTGCTGTAGAAGGAAGTTGGCAGCCAAATTCTCATTCTTCTCACAAGCAAAATATGCTTGAATCAGACAGAAGTCCTTCAAGAAATCCTAGTGCCTTATCTGTTCTCTAGGTTCTTTCTCCTGAGGTGTTACTTGAATGTAGTTCATGTGCCCACTTCCAGCATTAGCCATTCCTCTGCTGCCACCTCCACCACGACCTCTGCCTTCTCCACCTCTGCCACCTCCTCCTCCACACTGACCACTGGCTTTCTTTTTATAGGGTCTGACCTGTTGAACTGTTAGGGTCCGATGCCCCAACATAAAACTACTTTTCCCTAACTGGACCAGTGCAGAGGCACAGGAAAAGACGAGACACAATTCACACAGCAATATCGGAAGGGAGTCTCAGGTTTCATTCATTCCTGAAGATCACCTGCGTTTATTATTTAAACACCTTTTATTTCCCCCAGGTAAACCAAGGTGGAAACTCATTAATATTCTCTTTCTGGGGGACACGGGAGTATGGTCAGACCTCCAACTCAGACACCATCTTGGAATCCACACCTCTCCCCAGGTGATCTACATAAGAACAAAAGAGAAGGAACAGTCCATCCTGAGGCTTTTGTTAGATAGGCACAGCTTGTCTGGCAGGAAAGTAGCTGCCTTGGAAACCAAACATGGCCAGAGAACTTGGCTGTAAATATCTTGTATGAAATATGGGCCTGCTGGGCAGTGGTGGCACACGCCTTTAATCCCAGCACTTGGTAGGCAGAGGCAGGCGGATCTCTGTGAGTTCGAGATCAGCCTGGTCTATAAGAGCTAGTTCCAGGACAGGCTCCAAAACCACAGAGAAACCCTGTCTCGAAAAATAATAATAA